GGTTACTCTTTCCATTGGTGCACCAACTTGATATAACTTTCATTGAAGCACATCCTTTATGCTTGGGTCCCCTTTTAGCACAACATGTAGTGCATGTCCTGCACCATTCTTCCACATCTTGCCTCATACATATCCAGTAGAATCTCTGCCATAGATGACTCAATGTCTTCTTAACTCCAAGATGTCCTCCTGTTAAACTATTATGGGATTGACACAGCACAACTTTCCGTAACTTTCTCGGTATAACCGTTTGCCAGGTCGTCACTTTCCCATCTCCAGAGAATAATATCATTTTCAAGCTTCAACTGGTCCCATTGTGCTCAATAGTTCTTTGTCATAGGGCTTAAGCTAGACACCTTCTCATAAGCAGGGTACAAAATACTTGCTTTTAGAAAATCAATTATTGGCTTCAAATCTTGATCTTTCTCCTGCTCTGCTTTAATATCTATACCTGGTTCCACTCCACCATCATCAACTTCTTCAGTCACTTTGACTTCAGCTTGATGACACCTGGTTAGCTCAACCTCTCTTTTAACACTTACTGAAATTTGACCTTCGTTGTTCGAAGTTAACTGCACACTTCCTTGGTAGTAAGTAGTCCAACCCTAATATGCATTGGTCTTCAATGTCAGCCAAGTATACTTTGTGTCTGTCTTTCATGCCCATGAGCTCAGTAGTTACCCACACTGATCTCCACAACCTTACATAATGTCCTGTCACACCACAGAGCTTCTGTACAGCTTCTGGTACTCCTTTGAGATCTAGCACCTTGATACTCACAAGGGTTTGCTGAGATGCATAATCTATGACAAAGTTGTACCTTTGGCCATCCAGCTTTCTTGTCAGATAGACACCATGTGTCCTTGGCATTTTACACCTAGCTGTTGAGACTTTCACAATGGGGGTTGGTGGGCGTCCCTCAACATGAACCACTACTGGTTTCCCCGAGGCTGACTTATTGGCAGTATTCTCCTTACACTGGCTCCTCATATGTCCTTGCTCTCCACAGTTCCAACAACCTTTCTGGGTAGCAGCCTTTCCTGCCGTGGCATCTTCCCTGTGTTGAAGTTTCCAGCATTGAGCTCCCTTGTGCCCTGGTTTGTTACAGTGCCAGCAAAGTCCTTCAAACTTCTCTGAAAGCTGCCCTTTTCTGGCCTTGAATCCCGATGACGGTACCAACCTTGGTACCTCTGTGCTGGACTTAATGTAGGATTCGAATTCAAGAGCTCTGGCCATTGCATCCTACATAGTAGAGGGCTGTGCTGGCTTTACTTGTATCTTCAGTTGTGGACTATCCAAGGCATCTACAAACTGATCTCTCAGCAACAGCTTGAGGACATTGGTGACACAGTTGGGTAGGCCTT